ATGCCATTCGTGTAAGGGAGGTTGCAAGTGACATTGAAGTTCCCCCTTGGGTTGGTGTGCTTGAGGGACGCATCGCTTCCAGGCTCGCGCCCATGCAACAGGACCTGACTGACATTAATTTGCTGCATGTTGAAATGCATCGGGAATTAGTGAATTTATCTTCTGAATTCAAGAATCAACAGGTACGAGTGGAAGCAAACGAAGCTGCCATCAAGGAACATAGCGAACTGCATGAAGGAAGCCTGTTACGTATCGCTAATCTTGAAAGGCAGATTAAGGAACTCCGTGCACAGTCCCGCTCTCCCACCCCGTCGAGAGGAGGAGGCACACCGAGGGGTGGTCGTAGCCCTACTCCACCCCGTGAGCGTAATATTGAGGAGGAGCTCCACCTCGTAATCGGAGGTTGGGAAGATGCACGCAGAGATGATGCTGTCGAGGAAGCTAAGTCCATGTTTGAAAGTGTTAACTTGAAGGACGCTTGGGCTGACATCTGGTCTGCTTACAACAGGACCTCGCATGTTCGGGTGTCGTTGGCTTTCCCCCAGAACTACACGAGCGTCTCTCAACAACGGGCCTTCCAAACGCAGGTTTTGGAAAAGCTCAAGGCCAAGAAATGGGTGAGTCAGGCGCCTGGAAGTGAGAACAGGCCCATTTGGATTCAGAGGCACCGTACTCCCGAAGATCGTGCTAAAATTCGGGCCGTGGTAAGCGTCAAGGAGTTTATTGATCAACTTACCTTTGGAGGAGGTAAAGTCAAAAAGCACGCGGAGCTCGACTGGCGCGGGAAGGTTTTCGTAGGCGCCATTAACATCCTTGCTGGCCCTGATATCGATGGCCTAGGAGATCATGATTTCCCGCTTATGGACAATCGTGGTAATCACACGGGGTGGGTGATTCTAGCTGATCGTTTCTCCCAGGCGACAGGACATCCGCCCGAGGCCCTGCAAGGCCTCTGGGATGTGCGCGTGACTTCGCGCCCTTAGGGGCCCGTGCCCTGCCACTCGCCTACGTTGTTTTCCAGGACGTGGAATTTGAGGGGGAAATCCCTTGAAGATGTTGCCAGGACCTGGGATCTTCTGGGTGGTGAGGGTATTGATTTTTTCGCGTTTCAAGAAGTAGGAGGTCTCAACGAAGTTCCTTTGCACGGCTGGGACCAACGAGAGGTCCAGTTTGGACGCTCGTCCTACATGTGTTTTTTCTCTTCTCCGCCTGATAGTTTCAGAGGCACTGCAGTTGGAATTCCGCTTGGGGACCTACAGTATGTTTGTAAAGTTGTCCCTCTGCAAACCGGCATGATTGTTGTTCTTCAGAAAGGTGGCTGCAAGGAATTCATAATTAGTTTGCATCTCCCCCACAGGCAGCGAGCCGACTGCCTCAAAGTGTGGCAAGAGCAGTTCGAACAGCTAGGGGAACATCTTCAGGGGTTACGGCTTTCTGATGATGTACTGATTTTGTCTGACCTGAATTTGGATCTGCATTCGCTTGACCCCGAGAACAATGATGAGCGTCGTGTTCTCTTGGAGGGTTTTGTGAAGGGTTTCGGACTAGATCGCATGTATCCTGAGAAAACGACTTGGAAAAACACTAGGGGAGCCAAATCCACCATTGATTACATTTTGTTTCCCTTGGGAGCTGCCAAGGTCGTCTTCTCTCAGGTGTGCGAAGAGTCTGATGACCTTTTGGGAACAGATCACAGGTGTTGCACCCTGGGTCTACAAAAGCACTTCCGTTCCCCTGCCTGTCGTTCTGGTAGGTATAATGCTAGGAACCTTTGCGGCAAGTGGAGGGTTGATCTGGCCAAAGCTCCTTTTACCTGTGGGGCTCTCTGCGAACAGCTGGAAGCCCTGAACCTTCCTTTTGATATGTCTTGTTTGGAGGGCCTAGCGAAACAAACTTGTACCCGTCCCCGTTCGTACAGGTATGTAGACGGCCCGCACATCAAACGTCTCATTCAGGATAGACGCCGAGCGACAGGTGCCCGTGCTAAGGAACTGGGTCATGCCATTGTCAAAGCTCGGGCCATCGCCAAGAAGGAATGGATTACCTCCCTTCTTGAGAGGGGATCCTCGGGTGATTATCATGCAATCAGCTTCTTTAAAAGGAGGCAGTCTACCAAGGCTACGCATGGTAGTTACATCATGCGAGCGGGCGGGCTTCACACCGCTGTAGCTGACCTGAAGTCCTTTTATTCCCGGAAGTACACGCCTGAAGATCCGCGCCCGCCTGATTTTGCTCTTGACCTATACACATCTACGGTAGGCGAACTGCCAAATGCTGTGCCCTTCAGTGCTGAAGAGGTTCAGGAGGTTCTTAATACTACCAAGGCTGGTAAAAGCTCCGGCCCTGATGGAATTCCATATGAGCTTCTGCAAGCTGTAATTCAATCCCCCCTTCAATGCAAGCTTTTGTCGTACTTTAATTCCATACTGCATGGAGACAGCCAACTTCCTCGATCTTGGTTAGAGTCGCAAGTGGTCTTTTTGCCCAAAGTCAAATCACCGGCTAGGCCAAAAGATCTGCGCCCTATTGTCCTCTCTTCTACCCCTGGCAAGCTTTTTAGCAAACTCCTTTTATGCAGGCTTCGCCACCATTGGCCCCCGATGTTATCAGGACAATTGTCTGGGCTTCAAGGCGCCCAGAGCCTTGACGGCTCGATGACGTTGCAGCACGTCGTCAGGCAGTCCCAGCAGTGGGGGCTGCCGCTCTATGCGGCTAAGCTCGACATCGCGCAGGCTTTTGATACGCTGCTCCATGAAGGGGTTGCACGTTTTCTCAGTCACATAGGTCCATTGCGAGAGAGCCACATCCTCCTTCGGATAATAGTGGGATCCAGTGCCCTGTTGTCGATGGGTGGAGAAGAATGGAAACAGCCGCTTAGGCAAGGGCTCAAACAAGGGTCTGCGTATTCCGCTGAGCTTTTTGCAAGGGTCCTAGACTACTTCCTTGCACCAGTTCTACACAAATGGCAGGCGCTTTTCCCCAGTTGGATACGTGATGCACGGGGGGTTCTTTTGCATGCCATAATTTATGCCGATGATATGGTGCTCCTGGCGACGTCTAGGGACCAACTTGCCATGATGATAGCTCAGGTTCGCGATGCTCTCAGAGGGATCGGTTTGCGCCTTTCCCTTGAAAAGTGTCAATATCTGTGTAGCCCTGGGCTAGATGCTACGCCCATCTGCCTCCCAGGCACTAGAGCCGATGAAGCCATTCAATGCAAGCCCTCTTTTCTTTTCTTGGGGATCCTAATTGGTTTTGGAGTCTCATGCGGGACCACTTTGTCGCGCCGCTTGGCGGGGGCCACTGGGGCCTTTTGGGGGCACTCGGCCTTCCTGTGCCGTGGATCTGCTTCCATGAAACAGAGGTTGCATTTGTTTGATGCTTACGTAAGCAATAAGTGGAAATGGATGTCGGCAGCCTTTCTTCCGGTCACTGAGGTGCGTAACATGTTGGACGTGCTACAAACTAGCCTAGTGACAAGCATGCTGAAACCTGCTTTTGACCCTTTCCAGCCCCACCTGCATAACTGGATTGCCCGTCGTCGTGCGGCCAGAATGACTATTCAAGCGACCGAACACACCCGCTGGGCCATTAGTCACGCGTTGTTGTTCTTCAGATATTGGGGCCACGCTGCCCGGTATACGGAATTCGACCGAAGGCCAATCACTAAGGTCCTGCACTTCCGTGACTATGACTGGCTTGCGCGCCATACTGGGGCCAAGCGCAAGTTGGGATTTTGGCCCGACGCTGTTCGGTTTGTCCAGTTAGCATGGGAAAAGTGTGGGAGACTTGGAAGCTGGAGTTCTCAAGCAATGCACAGGGACGATTGGAAGGAGTTCTCTCAGGAATGGATTGACTCAGTCTTTCCGCACCCGAGGGGGTTCTACCCCAATCTCCAAGACGTTGATTTGCTAGGTAGATCATTACTCCAAGTCGGTGATCGCTTTTGGCTCTTGCCGTTTAGGCACGTGCCCATCGAACAGCCGTACCCGACCTCGTTTTCCTATGTACCAGCTCCCGATGAAGATTCCAACCAACACTGCATCCGGATTTCTTCGGACGGGAGTTCAAGGGATTTGGTTGGTGGAGGTGGGGTTGTTCTACTCCCCCCCTTTGGCAGAATTCCGGAGGACGTTATTCTGGTTTGCCAACCGATTGATGGAAGGTGTACGAACATTAGAGCGGAGCTGGTCGCCGCTACAACAGCTCTTCAGATCGCTGACAGGATACTCGATGACTTCCCAGGTGTGCCGGTGGAGTTCCATTCGGATTCGTTGCATGTTCTTCAGATTTTAGCTGACGGGATCATCACTACGGCTAATCTGGCAGAAGTGGCACA